ATGGAATCCTGGCTGAAACCGGTTTGGCTCAGTGGATAGAGTGTCAGCCAGCGGACTGAAAGGTCCCAGGTACGATTCGGGTCAAGGGCATGTACCTTGGTTGCAGGCACATCCCCAGTAGGGGGTGTGCAGAAGGCAGCTGACTCTCTATCCCCCTCTCTTCCTCTCTGTAAAAAATCAATAAAATATATTTAAAAAAAGAAAAAAAAGAATGAATTCCGTTCTGAACAAGATTCAAAATTGCTAAAGTTGGCCCTGGCCATGTAGCTCAATTGGTTAGAGTGCCATCCCAATACCCCAAGATTTCATACAAAAATCGGGGCACATACAGAAACCTACCAATGGATGCATAAATAAATGGAACAACAAATGAATGTTTTTCTTTCTCCCTTTCTCTCTAAAGTCCATCAATCAATAAAACAACAACAACAAAAAGAAGCAAAAATCACAAAGGAAAAGATAAATTTAACTCCAATAAACTTTACAACTGTGAGGTATAAGACATGATAGCAATTTAGGCAAATATGTCCCCTAACTACCATCCCCTCCCTGATAATATGTTTTCTGAGGACACGCATTGGAAAGCACGCGGTTCCATAGCAATGACCTCTGAGGAGAGCACAGGGACTGAGAGGCGTGGTCAGAGATGACTTTACACTTTCCAGTTATGTTTTAAACATTTTTTTGTTGTTGTTGTTGTTAATACTCAACCAAGAATATTTTTCCATTGATTTTTAGAGAGATTGGGAGGGAGGGGGAGATGCAGAGAGAGAGAGAACATCGATGTGGGAGAGACACACCGAATGGTTGCTTTCCGCATGTGCCCCAGGAAGAGCCAGGGATCGATCGAGCCTGCAACCGAGGTCAATGACCTTGACTGGAATCGAACCTGGGACCCTTCAGTCCGTGGGCCAAAAGTCTATCCACTGAGCCAAACCGACTAGGGCTGCTTTTAAATTTTTAAATTAAAAATTATTATGTCCTTTGTGCAATTAAAACTTCATTAAGTCTAGCCGAAACTGGTTTGGCTCAGTGGTAGAGCGTTGGTCTGCGGACTGAAAGGTCCCAGGTTTGATTCTGATCAAGGGCATGTACATTGGTTGCAGGCACATCCCCGGTAGAGGGTGTGCAAGAGGCAGCTGGTTGATGTTTCTCTCTCATCAACATTTCTAGCTCTCTATCCCTCTCTCCTCCTCTCTGTAAAAAATCAATAAAATATATTTTTTTAAAAGAAAAAACTTCATTAAGTCTCATATATATATATATATATATATATATATATATATACACACACACACACAGTATATCACAAGCCTTTGAAGATCTCCTATTTGTGGTGAACAGCTTCATTTGAGACCTACTAGGAGATATAAGTTCACTAGTAGTTTGAGATGCATGATATAGCATGAATTCTCAGCACTGGTCAAAATGGCTTACTTGGTTCCTGAATATGCTCTCTTCCCACCAATCTCAAAATGCACTCTTATCTTCTTCAACTTCATGGAGTTTTCCCATCCTTCAATGCCCAGCTGGAAGTGTCACCTCCTCCAGGAAGCTCTCCATGATTGCACTCTCCATGAGTCCTCACTGCTCTCTCCCTGCCCTACTTTAACAGTCTCTATGGCACTGACTGTACCTTTCTCTGGGCACTCAGATAAGGGTTCCTACTTATCTCTCTAAGATAGGCTACCTCTCCTCAACCAGCCAGCAAACAAGAGCAGTATCGTAAGGTCCTTAGTGCCTAGCATAGAGATGGCATGGAGCATTGGTCAGGCCTCAGAGTCAGGCAGACTCACTATGTGACACAAGGCAACTGCCTTAACCTTCCTGGGCCCACTTTCACCCGTGTTACTGTGAATATCAATGAGAAGGTGGGTGTAAAAGGGGCCCCAGAACAGGGAAAGGTGGTGGATAGAATGGTGATCTGCCTTAAGACTCTCCCACTTTTGTACAGAGTTTCACAATAAAAAACAAAAACTTTTAGCAACCCAGAGAAGGAGGCATGAACAGACCCATTTTAGGGGGAAATAGCCGTGGTTCAGAGAGGTTACAGAGGGAGGACAGGCAGTTGATCTTTAGGAGAGCACAGGGGCAGGGGTTAGAACATTTGTGTAGGCATGCCAATTCTTCCCTTACTCAGCTGTGGCAGCTTGGACAACTCTCTTGCTCGCTGCGGTCATCAGTTTCCCCATCTCCGGTAAGAGCCTTCCTAGGTGATCTCTATCTCACAGGACCCCCAGGGCTAATATTCTAGATTCCTGGGCGCTGCCCAGGATCCTTCTCAGCAAGAGGTCTGCAAGTCCAGGACAGAGTCCCTAGTTACTCCCAGGAAACCAACTGAGACTGGAAGACTTGAATTAAGAATCAGTTGATTTTTTTACAGAGAGGAAGGGAGAGGGATAGAGCGTTAGAAACACTGATGGGAGAGAAACATCAATGGTGTGGCTCAGTTGGCTGAAATATAGTCCCATACACTGAAAGCTCATGGGTTCAATTCCCAAGTCAGGGCACAGTCCCAGATTTCGGATTCGATCCCCTGTGTAACTGATTGATGTCTCTCTCTCATATTGATGTCTCTCTCTCTCAAATCAATAAGGATTAAAAAAAAAATCAGTTGCATTTTGATTTAGACAAATTCATACCTCTTCAAGCCTAGGGGTGGGTTAGTCATGCCAGAAAAGGGAAGTGGGAATGCCAGCTTCAAACTACATCCTATATATTTAAAGGCTAATATGCAAATCGACCAAACCGCTGAACGACGGGTTGCTATGACAGGCGCTGACCACCAGGGGGCAGACGCTCAATGCAGCAGCTTCCCCCTAATGGTCAGTGCACTCTTACAGGGGGACTGCCACTCAGCCAGAAGCCAGGATCATGGCTGGAGAGTACAGTGGTGATGGCAGGAGCCTTACCCGCCTCTGCAGCAGCACTAAGGATGTCCGGCTGAGGGCTTAGTGGGGAGCGGGCCTAAGCCAGCAGTCGGGCATCCCCCGAGAGCCCTTGGACTGTGAGAAGGTGCAGGCCAGGCTGAGGGACACCACCCTCACCCCCCGCAAGTGCACGAATTTCACGCACCAGACCTCTAGTGTAAATATAAACACAAATGGAAAACCAAACAGGAAACCTCTGGCAAGTCCAATCCAAAGGTCAGATTCTAACCTTTTGGGCAGTGAAAGAGACAAGCTTGGGTGCCATGGGCTTTCTGCTGTAAAAACAAACCTCACGTGCACCAAATCAAAGTCCCAAAGGCAAAAGAGACCGAGTTTTGTTGCGTCTGAATTGGGGCAAAGCTGAACCCTCACCAGAGCCTGCTGCAGCCTCTCCCCTCCACACACACACAAGTGCTTACACACACCGAGCCAGGCAGGCCCAGATGCACCGGCATAAATGGGCATTTCTGTCCCCGGAGAAGGCTCCATAGTACACTTCCTTCTCCTGCTCTGATTTGACATTTTAATGAACAACCCAATAAAGAGGCTGAACTGTGACAGCCCGACGGGTGCCAAAGGCACTGAATTCTTCCAGGTCAGGAAATATGACACTCTGAAGACAAACTGGGGGACGCTGGCTCCTCGGGATGAGGCTCTGCGGCTGTCTCCCTGGGAGATACAAGCCGTAGTCATAGTTGGTGGACTCTGAGCGACTGGTCCTGCCCAAGGAAGGAGGCCAAAGATTGGCTGCTTATTTTAACTAAAACGTGTACCCCCACTATGTGCAAAGCTGGGCTCTGTGAGAGAAATGGACAAAAGAAGGGACCTGGTCAGTCGGTAAAGAGGTCCGTCGGTTAATCGGATCATGATTCCATTTATCAAGATGCGTGCCTCACATGCACCGCCTCACGTAATGCCATAGCCCTGCAGGTAAACATTGTTATCTCCATTTCACAGATGCCAGAGAGGGGTTCACACAAATCAGGTCACATGCCCAAGCTCACACAGCTGGCAAGCTGCAGGGCCAGGATTTGGACACAGCCCGCCTCCCCCATAGCGGGTGCTCTCTCCGCAATCCTCCATCACCCCGCTTCAGAGTGACAGGCGCAGACTCTGAGAAGGGGGTCCAGCCTGCCAGAGGAGAGAAGGAAAGGAAATCTCCCAAGACACGGATCCAGGGCGTTATGAACTATTGAGCTTGGTGTCAGCCACACAGTAGGTGCTCAATGCTCTTCCGGTGAAGGATGGAAGCTGATAGCAACAGCTGAGGTCCAAAACGTCACCCAAATTCAGGGCATCCTCTGGAAGCGAGCTGCAGAAACATATCCTGCCCTGGCCCAAAGCTGCAGGGGGTCTGCCCTAGAACATTCCCTGCAGGGGCAGCCCGGTGAAGTGCAGCAGGTCCCAGAAGAGGAGTGAACTCCAGAGAGCAGGGGAATGGGGTGGGGCAGCCGGCAAGAGGGAAAGAAAAGGCCTGGGACGCCTTGCTGGGAGAGACAAAGAGGAGAGGGGAAAGGGGAGGAGACTAGAAACTTGCCAACAGCCTGGCCAAGGTGAACCCCGGCTCCCGGCGCCTTCTCATTTGCATTCATTCCACAAACACCGGCCAAATCTCGGAGCCAGCAGCCAGGGGGAGGGGGCCTGCCTGCAGCCAGGGAAAAGTTCCTGACTGAGGCGGGCAGGCCCGCTTCCCAGAAGAGGAGTGACTTTGGGGCCAAACCCGTGGGGCTCCGAAGATGAAAACCCAAACAGACGCAGCGAGGAGCTGAGCAAGCACAGGCGATGGTGCAGGTGGCCAAGAACACGGGGTGGGGGTGGGGTAGGACCCCCGACCTGTGACCTGTCGTCGAGGTGACCTCCAGGCCCCCCCACAAACCATCCCTCCGGCCGGCCCTCCCCAAGGCCTCGACGGTGGGGACGCGGATGTCTGAGATGCACCCGGTTCTCACAGATCTAGGGAAGGGGAAGGTTTTGGGGAGCGGTAAGGGCCAATGCAGCTCCCGTCACCCCGGTGAACGTCAAGGCGAGAGCCTGCCGGGACCCGGGACCCCTCCCGCCTCGGCCCCTCACCTCCTCCCGCACCAGCGCCGCCCCCCGGCACCGGGGCATCTTGGCGGCGAAGGCGGCGGCCCCAGCCGGGGAGTTGAGGTCCTCCACGGTGACGGCCAGGAACTCCGCGACGCTGAGCTGCTCGGGCATGGTGGGCGCGGGGCGGGGGCTCAGGGCGGCGGGGGCTCCGGGGCTGCGGGCGCGGGGCGCGGGGCGCGCTCACTACACAGCTCTGGCTGGCCGCACCGTCCTCCGAGGGCGCCGTCCGGGCCTCCGCACGCCCCACCCCCTCCGCGCCGCCCCGCCCCGCCCCCGACTGCCTTCCAGCGCCCTGTCCAGTCGCCTCGGGTCCCGGAGTCCCCACCCCGTCCCAGCCCCGCCCACTTTTCGACACGACACGCCCTCTTCTCGGCCCCGCCCCATCATCGTCTCGGCCCCGCCCCATTCTCCTCCAGGCCCCGCCCCGCCCTCGTCTAAGCCCCGCCTCTGGCCTACCAGTGCCTGGCTCGCTGCCCCGCCCCTTCCAACAGCCCCGCCCCCTGTCTCTAGGTCCCGCCCCTTTCCTCTAGGCCCCGCCCCTTTCCTCGGTCCGCCCCGGCCTCCCTGAAGCTCCCCAGGCCCCCTGCCGCCCTCCAGGTTCCGCTCCCCGGTTCTCCTCCCTCCCTTCGTTCCCAGCCCCCATGGCCTCGCCCCTTCAGCTTCACCACCTCCTCAAGCCCTGCCTGTCCCGGGGAACCGCTCCTCCCGGAGTCACCCCGCCTCTCCCTTGCTCCCCACACCCAGCTGTCAGCCTCCCATTCCCTGCGCCACCAGGGACCCCCCCAGCCGCATACCCCGCCTCCCGGGTCTGTGTGGCAAGCCCCCCACCCCCCACCCCCCGTGTAACTGCGATTTGGGAAAAACGTTTCCTTCTTGGAACCTGTTTCCTTCTCTGCAAAAACGGGAAGTCTAAACTTTATGGTGTTGCGAGGAAAGAATCTAACACGTGCGTGTGCCCGATAGATGCTCAGTAACCCTCTCCTTTTTACCTGGCCTTCTCACCCACGCCCTTTTTTCTTCCTGGGCTTCGCCTGGTGCCTTCTACCCCTGGACCCCGCTCACCAGCCCTACCAGGCTGAAGACCGCCACTCCTCCTCATGCACTAACTTCCTCTTGGGAACCACCTACATCTTTCAGTGGATAAGGATGGGGTTCGGAATACAGATCCACTTCGATTTTATTCTGGACGCTCAGGCCTTCTGGAAAAGATTCCTTCAGGCAAATATCAGGGAAGCACCGAGCTGAAGAATCTTTGTGCTTTGGAGTCTAATGGGTCTATTTTATTTATATATATATATATTTTTAAGTTAATTTCAGAGAGGAAGGGAAGGAAGAGAGAGATTGAAACATCAATGATGAGCCGAAACCTGTTTGGCTCAGTGGATAGAGTGTCGGCCTGCGGACTGAAGGGTCCCAGGTTCCATTCCAGTCAAGGGCATGTACCTTGGTTGTGGGTGAATCCCCAGTGGGGGGTGTGCAGGAGGCAGCTGACCAATGTTTCTCTCTCATCGATGTTTCTGGCTCTCTATCCCTCTCCCTCTCTTAAAAAATGAATAAAAATATATTTTAAAAAAAAAGAGAGACATCAATTATGAGAATCATTCATTGGTTGGCTGCCTCCTGCGTGCCCCCCACTAAGGATAAAGCCCGCAACCTGGGCCTGTGCCCTGACTAGGAATCCATCTGTGACCTCCTGGTCCATAGGTGGGTGCTCACTGAGCCAGCCAGCCGTGCGTGGAGTCATCATCTAAGTTTCAATCCTGGTGCTGCGACTCACCAGCTGTGTGCAGCTGCGGAAATTGCTAAGATGGAATCTCGTCCTCTTAAAATGGCCTAATGGCATGTTATCCTATAAGTTGATCGAGAGAATTATATACTTTGCGTAGGAAAAGGAAGTCTTGAAAATTGTGTATCTTAACTTTTCTATAAGGGACATAAACTACTTGGGTAATAGAATTAAAAGTTGAAAAAAAATATGTACAATCTGGTGGAGACAGGACAAATGTGCTGTGAAGTACAACTGCTTCAGCCGCAGGCACCTCTTGATCCGCTCTCCAGTCTGCTTTCCACCCCAGGGCCTCGCAGGAGGTCAACTAGGCTCCCCTCCTCTTAAAACACAAGAGGCACTTACTCCTCTTGCTTGGTTTCTGGGAGCATCTGGCACTGTTAGCCATTCCTTCCTTCTTGAAGCACATGTTCCCTTGGCCGAGGATGTTTTCCCATGGATTTGTAGAGAGTGGAAGGGAGGGGGAGAGCCAGAAAGAAACATGTGTCTCTCTCCCATCGATCGGTTGTGAGATTCTTGCCCGAGAGCCTTAAGTTCGCAGGCCAACACCCTATCCGCTGAGCCAAACCGACTGGGGCTGGGACAACCCTTCCCCTTGGTGGTCCTCCCTCCTCTGGTGCTGAGATATGCCTCCTCCGCACGGACCTTAACCGCCAGAGCCGTGGGGAGCCCTCTGCGGGGCCCCTGGCTCTTCTCGCTCTGCCTGGGCTTCCTCCAGAGCCACCAGATTCCTTTTCACCGTTGATGCTGATGTTTTCTGTGCTGGTTTCCTACTGCTGCTTTAACGAATGACCGCAAATCTGGCGGCTTACAACGACACCCATGTATTATTCTCTTTCGGTCCTGGAGGCCAGGAGTCTGAAACATTTTACCGGACTGAAATCAAGGTTATCAGCAGGCCACACTCCCTGCGGAGGTTCCAGGGGAGCTTCCGTTTCCTTAGCCTTTTCCAGCTCCTGGAACTGCATACCTTGCATTCTTTGGCCTGTGGCCAGCTTCCTCTATCTGCGAGGGCATCTTGGGCTTGCAAAGGCTCCACGTTGCCTTCTTTCCCGTGGCCGGATCGCCCTCGGCCTCGGTCTCAGGAGCACGTTTGTTAGTACAGTTAGGGTCCACCGGGATGATCCAGAATAATCTCCCCATCGCAACAATCTTTAAATTAACCACACCAGCAAAAATTCCACAAATTTGAAGTAATAACAGAAGCAATAACTGTTATCGGCGTTACTTTGTGTAGGTCCTTTTCTAGGCCCATCACATACAATAACTCATGCATCCTCTCAAAGGCAGCTACTGTTATCATCCCCGTCTTACAGAATTGGAATCTGAGACGGGGAGCCAGAAGGAGCTTGCCCAAGGTTACTGGCAAGGGATGGATGGAATCAGGAGACAACACGGGCAATCTGGCTGTGAGCCGGTGCCCAATGTCTGGGCTCCTATTTGTCTCGGTCTAGGTCCGTGGTCGGCAAACTCATCAGTCAACAGAGCCAAATAGTGACAGTACAACGACTGAAATTTCTTTTGAGAGCCAATTTTTTAAAAATATATTTTATTGATTGTTTTTTTTCAGAGAGGAAGGAAGAGGGAGAAAGATTAGAAACATCGATGAGAGAGAAACATCGACCAGCTGCTCCTGCACACCTCCTACTGTGGATGTGCCCGAAACCAAGGTAACATGCCCTTGACTGGAATCGAACCTGGGACCCTTCAGTCCGCAGGCCGATGCTCTATCCACTGAGCCAAACAGGTTTTGGCCCAAATTTTTTATTTTTATTTTTATCGGAATCGAACCTGGGACCCTTCAGTCCGCAGGCCGATGCTCTATCCACTGAGCCAAACAGGTTTTGGCCAAAATTTTTTAAACTTTAACTTTTTTTAACGCCACTTCTTCAACATAGGCTCGCCCAGGCAGTGGTATTTTGTGGAAGAGCCACACTCAAGGGGCCAAAGGGCTGCATGTGGCTTGCGAGCCGCAGTTTGCCGACCACAGGTCTAGGTGAAAGCAGACCCAAGACAGGGAGGAACACTGAAAAGTTCAAGTTTGTCTTCACTGAGGTCCTCAGAGGGGGTGGATCTCCAGGGTCCTCTCACTAAGACCTCCAGCACCTTTGGCTGAAGCCCGTGCAGGCGCCCTCTAGTGGAGAACGTGATGGGTGGTCTCAAGTCTTTCCTCAGGCCTAGTGGAGACAAGCTTTGGAGACAGGTCCGGCTTTCAATGCGGGCCGTGCTCCTTATTAGCTCGGGAAAGCCTCAGTTTCCCCACGTAGAAAATGGAGATAATAATGCCTGTCTGGCCGAAACCGTTTTGGCTCAGCGATAGAGCGTCGGTCTGCGGACTGAAAGGTCCTGGGTTCGATTCCAATCAAGGGCAGGTACATTGGTTGTGGGCACATCCCCAGTAGGGGGTGTGCAGGAGGCAGCTGGTGGATGTTTCTCTCTCATCGACGTTTTTAGCTCTCTATCTCTCTCCCTTCCTCTCTGTAAAAAATCAATAAAATATATTAAAAAAAAAACAAACAATAATGCCTGTCTGTCTTATGGGGCTATCGTGAGGATGACTGGCGTTATTATTTGTCTTTGATTGAAGAAATAAAAAAAAACTCCTGGAAGTCTGTCTTATAGCTCTGAATTCAGAGGTCTGAAATCGGTCTTACTGGGCAGATTCAAGGTGTTGGCAGGGTTGTTTTCCTTTAACTTAAGCAAAGAATCCACTTCCTTGTCTTTCAAGCTTCTGGAAGCTGTGTGCCTTCCTGGCTCTTGGCCCTTTCCTCCATCTCCAAGCTAGCATTATAGCATCTTTTTTTTTTTTTAATAGATTTTATTGATTTTTAAAAATATATATTTTATTGATTTTGTACAGAGAGGAAGGGAGAGAGTTAGAGAGTTAGAAACATCAATGAGAGAGAGTCATCGATCAGATGCCTTTTGCACACCCCCTACTGGGGATATGCCTGCAACCAAGGTACATGCCCTTGACCGGAATCGAACCCGGGACCCTTCAGTCCCCAAGCCGACGCTCTATCCATTGAGCCAAACCGGTTTCGGCTTATTGATTTTTTTACAGAGAGAGCTAGAAACATCGATGAGAGAGAAACATTGATCAGCTCCCTCCTGCACACCCCCCACTGGGGACCCTTCAGTCCCCAAGCCGACGCTCTATCCACCGAGCCAAACCAGCTAGGGCTAGCAGTTTAGCACCTTGAAAGCTCTCCCTGCCTCTGACGCTGCCTCTTCTTCCTCTTTCACGTATAAGGAAGGACCCTGTGATTACCCGGGGCTCGTCTGGAAATCTAGGATCTCCCCAACTCAAGATCCGCTGACTGGCAGCCTCAATTGCATCTGCAGTTCTAATTTCCCCTTGTCACAGGCTCTGGGGATTAGCACATTATTCTGCCTTCTGCAGGGGGCAAGAGAACACTGCTGTGCAGTGCCCTCGGCGGTCCCAGA